ATGAAAAACTTATGAAGAATGCAACATATCTTTTATTTCTGAAATACACACACAAAAAACCAAGACAATAACAAAAACCAAAAGTATTTTAAAAATTTAATGGTAGGCATGATGGTTTTTGTCTCTAATCCCAGAATTCAACTGGCTGTGGCAGGAGGACTGAAAAACCTGTGCTACATAGCAAGTACCAGGCCAGTCAGGACAACACAGCAAGACCCTACAGAAAGAGAGAAAACAGGAGCAGGGAGCAGATATGTACTACAGAAGAACAGCAAGGACCAACTGAAGATCTTTTCCCTTTTAATTCTTTTTACACAAGTGCAGAGCACTGCATATTTAACGCACAAAAGTTGTTTGGTTTAGGAAGAGTTTAAGTAAAGCCACTTGGGAGGCAGAGGCAGGCGGATCTCTGTGAGTTCAAGGCCAGCCTGGTATACAAGAGCTAGTGCCAGGACAGGCTCCAAAGCTATAGAGAAACCCTGTCTCGAAAAACTAAAAAAAAAAAAAAAAAGTTTAAGTAAAAAGTACCTTAAGTTTAATGTGGAGAAAAATAACAGAGGAAGAAGAGGAGGTGGTACAGAGAAGGAAATAAGAGAAGGTAGAAGAGAGAGGAGGAGGAGGAAGAAGGAGAAAGTGAGGAAGAGACAGAGGCAGAAGGAGAAAGCCATAGATCCACCTCAAATAACAAAACTGATAGAAGAAAACATGGGGGAAGCTTCTTGATATTGACCTGGTTGATGAAGATCTTAGGGGTAAGACTCCACAAGCATAGGTGTTGAACTAGAAACAGAGGAATGGAGTTTTATCAAACTAAAAAGCTTGAAAACAACAAAACCAACCAAAACAGTGAAGAGACAGCTTATAAAACAGAGTATGTGTTAACAATATATCCAATAGTTACTATCCAAATAGAAACCAAACTTAAAAATAGGATTAAGTACTTAAGTAGGTTATTTCCCCCAAAATATCCAAATGATCAGCAAGTATATGAAAACTTTCTCAAGACTACTAATTATCAATAAAAATCAAAGAGGTACTATACCACACTAGTCACAATGATTCATTTGAAGTTGGACAGCAACTGTTGTCAAGGAGATGGGGAAGAGAAAACCCTTGTTTCATTGTCAGTGAAAGTGTAAACTGGTATAGTCATTTTGGAAGTTCTTCAAAAAAAACTTAAAATAACCTAGCATGTCAGCATAAACCTGTATTCCCAGGGCTCAGGAGGCTGTGTGGCAAGAGGACTCCAAGTCAGAAACCAGTCAAGACTATTACATACTTACTTCAGTGCCAATCTAAAGTAGATAGCCAGACTGTAGCTTAGAAAAGGCAGGCCAGAGCCTGTGGGATGTGGTTCAGTGGTACGGAACTTGTCTAGTACATGCAATGGCCAGGGTTTGATGGCCAAGGTTTGATGCTCAGTATAGAAAAACAAAACAAAAACAACAAAGAAACTTAAGAGCTACAGATATAGCTCAGCGACAGAGTATAGTTGCCCAGCATAAAATACACAAGGCCCCGAGTTTGAGCACCAGCATCTAAAATAGCTAAGTAAAAGTAAAAATACCAAATGACCCAACAACCCTACTTCTCTGAAAGAGGGCTGGAGAAATGGCTCAGTTCTCAAGAGCACTTTCTGCTCTTTCTGAAGACCCAAGTTTGATTCCCAGTATCCAGGTCAGGAGGCTCACAGCTGCCTGTAACTCCAAGTCCAGGGAATCTGACACCTCTGGCCTTTGAAAGCACCTGATCTCAGGTGAACATACCCACATGCAGACACACACCACATAATTAAAAATTTTTTAAATTTATTTTGCACGTATGAGTATTCTGCCTGCATGTACACATGCACACCACATGTGTGCCTGGTGTTCAAAGAGGTCAGGAGGGCATTGGACATCCTAAACTGGAGTTACAAATGGTTATGAGCCACTGCTTGGGTGCTGAGAGCTAAGTCCAGGTCCTCTGCAAGAGCAACAAAAATGCTCCTAACCCTTGAGACATATTTCCAGCCTCTTGCAAACATAATTTAAAATAATAAAAATAAATCTCTTTTCTGGTTTGTTTTAAAAGACCATGTGTGTACCTTTAACCTCAGCACTCAGGAGGCAGAAGCATGGCGATCTCCTGTGAGGTGGAGGCAAGGCTGGTCTGCACAGCGAGTTCATATCATTCATGGATACATACTAAGATCATGTCTCAAAAAAAGAGAAAGTTCTTGAAATCTACATGCACTCCTATATTCACCACACTCCCTAACATCTGAGGCAAAGGTAGAGATACAAAACATCATGTATGCAAATATATACAATATTACTTATCTTTTTAAAAAAGATTTGTTTTATTTATTTTTAATATATTTATTATGTATATAGAGTTCTGGGCACCAGATCTCATTATAGATGGGTGTGAGCTATCATGTGTTTGCTGGGAATTAAACTCAGGACCTCCGGAACAGCAGTCAGTTCTCTTAACCTTTGAGCCATCTCTCCAGCCCAAGATTACACTGCATGTGTCCCTGAAGGCCAGAAGAGGGCACCAAATCTCATTACAGATGGTTGTGAGCACATGTGGTTGCCGGGAATTGAACTCAGGACCTTTGGAAGAGCAGGCAGGCAAAGCTCTTAACCACTGAGCCATCTCTCCAGCCCCTATATTACTTATCCTTTAAGGCTTACATTTATGGTAAGATGAATTTACTTGTGATGCCAAGTAAAGTAGCACAGACAGAGAAAGACAACTGCAAAGTTCACATGTGGAATCTAAAGTCAAACATAGAGAAGTAGAGAGCACGGTTGCCAGGTGCTAGAGACCTGTAGACATGTGAAGTGTTGCTCAAAGAGCAATTTCTGTTTTGCAGAGTACGTCTAGAGATCTAATTTACAGACAGAATAGCACATGTAATTAATACTATAATGCTGGGCTGGAGAGATGGCTCAGAGGTTAGGAGCACTGGCTGCTCTTCCAGAGGTCCTGAGTTCAATTCCCAGTAACCACATGATGGTTCACAACCATCTGTGATGAGATCTAGTGCCCTCTTATGACATGCAGGCAGAATACTGTATACATAATAAATAACTAAGTCTTAAAAAAAGCCAGGCAGTGGTGGCGCACACCTTTAAAAAAAATACTATACTGCTAACAGAGTAAGTCTCGAAAAAAGAAAAGAAGATAATTATGTCAAGTGGTAGGTGTTAACATGTGATAACCACAATATAATAAATATATATCCGCCGGGTAGTGGTGGCGCACACCTTTAATCGCAGCACTCGGGAGACAGAGGCAGGTGGATCTCTGGGAGTTCGAGGCCAGTCTGTTCTATGTAGTGAGTTCCAGGACAGGTTCCAAAACTACACAGAGAAACCCTGTCTTGAAACACCTCCCCCCCAAAAAAATGAAAAAGAAAACCTACCCAAATCAAACAACTTGTGGTATCAAATAAATCTAAGCACCTGAATTTTAAAAAAAATTTCTAAACAGGGAAAAACTTTCATAAATAGAAGTGCTTTGGAAGGATATAGCTCAGTGGCAGGCTTACCTAGCATGTGTGAAGGCCAAGGTTTAACCCAACACTGCAGCAACCATACCCACCCACTCGTGCATACATGCACTATGTGTGCATGCATGCATACAAGGAGTGCTGCACTAGCTATGACATAGTTACTGTCCATGTTCAGAATAATGTCAACATTTAGAGTGCCTGAAATGCCAGCAATCACCGTTTTAAACAAAGGGGCTCTTTGATAACTTACGAAATTTCATTTTTATCTGGTTTTATGCAGAATTGTTAATATCAAAACTAATTTTGAAGCTGGGCGGTGGTGGTGCATGCCTTTAATCCCAGCACTTGGGAGGCAGAGGCAGGTCTCTGTAGGTTCGAGACCAGCCTGGTCTACAAGAGCTAGTTCCAGGACAGGAACCAAAGCTACAGAGAAACCCTGTCTTGAAAAACCAAAAACTAATTTTGAAGCAAGTAACTTTTGCTTAAACTTCACTTCTTTGTGCATTTTTAACTGTGTGTCACTTGGCCATAAGATTTTTATAAATAGTGTCAGCCAATAGTGGCTACAGTCCAAACATGTAGATGTTAAGGTGAAGCAGCTCCCCACAGAGTCTGTTTCTTTTTCTCTTTGATTTATATGTACTATACACTAAATGAAGCATCCTCCTTCATGTTCTTCAAGCTGTATGTTTTTCTATTTGTTGTTTTTATTTTTTTTAATTTTTTATAATTTATTTATTTGTACTTTATGTACACTGGTGTTCTGCCTGCATGTCTATCTGTGTGAGGGTGCTGGATGCCCTGGTACAGGAGTTATAGACAGTTATGAGTTGCCAAGTGGGTGCTGGGAATTGAACCAAGGTCCAGCTCCCAACCACTGGAGCCATCTCTCCAGCTTCTATTGGTTGCTTTTTAGAAACAGGCTCTCATTATGTAGTCTGACTGGCCTGGAACCAACTACATAGACCAGTCTGACCTCAAACTTGTGGTGATCCTCCTGCCTCTGTCTCCAAGTGTTGGGATTATAGGCATTGACCACATCTGGTATAGTATATATTTTCTTACTAAAATACAGCAGACACAAAGAAAAGGCTTGCCTTCAAACTATTCACTAAGGAGGTTTTTGCTAGGTATGAGTGATAAGAGCTGACATCACTTGGTTCACTATTCTACATGCACCTTAGCCACAGGAGGAGGACAAGCAAAAGAGAGCAATGTATTTTAAATCTTCACTTAAGTGTTCAAGAGGGTGGCAAAGTAGGTCACTTAACAAAAAATGATTAAGAATAAGTACTCATAGAATCAAGTCACAAATTATGACATAGGCACAAAAGATCATAAGCATAAATAATGGCTTTAGAACTATGTGAATAGAAAGATACTTTTGATCTAAACAAAGACACAGTTATTTAATCTACCAAATAAACAAACCATCCAAAAAGCCTTCTATCTCAAACAGTAAATAGAAAGGTCAATTTAATAAGCTGCAGAGTTATACCTGGTTCAGAGAATGTGTCGCTAATATCATCGTCTCTGTCATCCTCATAATCCTCTTCCTCCTCCTCCTCCTCCTCCTCTTCTTCATTTTCAGAAAGCTCATGCTCACTGCCAAACCCTTCATCATGGTCTTCATCATCAATATCATCTTCATCATCCTCATCATCTTCAGGACTGCATTTGGTTGGGTATTCTCTCATATTGTCAGAGACAAAAAGAGAATAATTGTGCTCTTCTTTTTTCTGGGATGACTCTGAAATAGAAGTGCTGGCAGAAAGGCTGCCACTCTCTGCTGTGGCAACTGACCCAGGACCTCTCTGGGACAGAGGACTAAGTAATAGCTCCTGGGATTCTCTGAAAGGCAAAGCAGGAGTGCCATGACCCCGATGAGGCTCCATTCCCCTTTTCTCCTGTCTCTTAGCCACAGTTCCACAATAGCAGGTGTTCTCCTTGGTTGCATCTGTGTGTGCCTGGCTCAGCAAAGGCCAGCCCTGTTGTACAGGGCTGATCTTGACCTTTGCTTTTTTTACATAGTCTTTACATTCAACATGAAAATTTACCTTTTCATTATGATACAAGTTGGTCTTCACCATGATCTGTGTGCTTGAAGTAGGTTTACTTGCTTTTTGGACACAGTCTGACAATGGGACCTCAGCCTGAAGTGTCTTTGAAGAACACACAGGGGCAGCTGCTCTACTTGTGATCTTTTTACTAGGGAATGATGGGGGCAAGGGATTTTGTTTGACACTGAAGAGGGAATCGGGATAATAAAGGGAATCAGAAACAGACTGAGAGTCCTCACTATTAAGCTGGGCCAAGGTTGGAGTTTTACTTATGACCTCTTCATCTTGGTAAGGGCTAGAAAAGTCATCAAGACCCAGGTAGTCCACTTCTTTTGTCCCCCAGATGTCACAGCTGGTTAGTTTGGTGTACTTAGTTAAGTCTTCACAGTATGTATCCCACTGTTCCCAGTTTGAGGTTAAAGCATCCTCATTATCCAGGACATCTGTGAAAGACTCCAGATTTTCAATGTCTTTGCAGTCTTCCAAAGAAAGTAAGTTGTCTCTAGGATTCTGTTGATAATTCATCTCTCTATCCTAAGGAAGGTTTAAAATGGGAAATCACATACCATGCTTTAGGAAGAAAATATTCACCTCCATCCATACCTGCAAATATCAAAACAAATACTCTACCTCTGGTCTGTTTTAAAATAAAAGCTACTGACATGATACCTTCCCCTTACATCTATCTAAACACCTTCATTTCAATGAACAAGAAAAAGTAGGAAAATACACTCTTTGAAAAACTAAAGTACTAAAGTATGGGTCCAAACATCAAAGCCTCTTGTGATCTTAGAAGTTCTCTTTAGAAATTAAATTCAAGTAAGAAGCAAATATTGAAGACCTAATCTTCATTACAGAATACCTCAACTTAAGTAAATATGGAGGCAAAGAGCCCAGAGACTGCCAAAAGTTGACTGTAAAATTGTAAAACCTAGGTATTAATTCTTGGCATGGGAAGTTAGATATCCCTCAGCACTGCAAAGATGTGACTTTACAATGTAGCAAAAACATTCATAGAGTGGAAGCACACACCATTAATGCACTCAGAAGGGAGAAACAGGACTGTCTCTGGGAGTTTGGGGCCAGGCTGGTTTACATAGTAAGTTCCAGGCTAGCCAGAGTTAAATGGTAAAACTGTCTCAAAGATAAATAAAGTAAAATAAAATGTAGTTACATTCTACAGTCATGGAAAAAGAAGTTGAGCCCTAATGCACTAACACAAAAGGCTATCCATCATACATTTTTATGTTTAGAAAAAGCAAACTCCAGCTAAAAGAAGGCTCAGTGGGTAAAGGCTTGACGCCAAGCCTGACCACCTCAATCAAACCCCTGGGATCCATATGATGCAAGGAGAAAACCATCACCTAAACACATACACACAGACTAAATAAACTGGGGGGGGCAAACTAAAGTATACAAATACATTATCCACTCAAAGTAAAAAATATGTTCAAATGTGTACATATTCATCCTATCTGCTGGCATTAGTTACCTTTGGGGGAAAATCTGAAGAGTGGAGGCTCAGAAAGGGAATGGATTTTCAGTGTTCCAGTTTACTTTGTTCCATTTAATTTATAGTTTGCATTTATTTTGTGTTGGATTGTGTATGTCTGTATGTGTGAGTAGTCTCACTTAAGTAGTTTATATATACCATACCCCAGTTTTATTAGGCATAAAATTCAATTGTTTTTAATGAATTCACAGATGTGCACTCAAATTCACAATTTTTCAGCATTTCTGTGTTGTTTAAATTACATATAATTAAAATTATATTGGGGGTAGAAAAAAGATGGCACAGCAGTTTTTTACTGCTCTTCTAAAGGAACCAAACCAGTTTCCCAGGATGTTGTCTGGAAGCTCACAACCACATTTAACTCTCAGCTCCAGGGGAGATTTGACACCTCTGGCATCTTTGGGCACCTTCACTCATGTGCACTGTTAAAAAATAAATTATTTCCCCCCTTTGGGCTAGGCATGGTGGCATAAAAGTTTAATCTCAGCACTCATGAAGCCAAAGTAGGCAGGTTATCTGTGAGGTTTGAGGCCAGTCTACACAGAAAGCTCCAGGCCAGCCAAAGCTACAAAGTGAGATCCTGCCTTACAAAAAGAAAAGAAAAGAAGAGGAAAGGTGGGGTTGCAGAGATGGCTACAATTAAGAGCACTTGCTGCTCTTGAAAAATACCTCGGTTCCATTCCTAGCATCCACATGGTGGCTCACAAATGTCCAGTTCCACAGAATCAGACATCCTCTTCTGGCCTCTATGGACACGCGTACATGTAGTGCATAGTACCCCATACTCAAAATAAATTATTTTTCCCTGTGGGAATTTTTTATCTACCTCAAAAAGCTGGAGAAGCTTGGAGCTGCTAATTTGTCTTGCCATCTCTACCACACATCTTACGTATACATCAGTTCTTAGTTTGTGAGCTAAAAAGCCCTTTAACACACAGCTTACTCTCCTTGTGAACAACTAGACTTGAGGACAGACAACCTCTTCACATGCTACTTCAATCAATTTGGGTATCTTTCAGAAATTACTAGACTTAGTCACAAGAATCAGCCTGACTCCTAGTTATATCCTTTTCCTTTTCTTAAAATCTATTCTGTATGGTCCCCGCAATCCTTCTTCCTCAGCCTCTCAGGTAATGGTTTTACCTGTGTGAGCCTCCATATCATGTTCATTATTTTCTCTTTTCAGACATTTATAAATAAAAACTCTATGACATCATTTTGATCTCAAATCAATTAAAACTAAAACCAAGAAAAGTTGCTTACCAGCTCATACATGAAATCTGGATCAGAACTGTTGGCTAAGAGATCTGTGCTCATCAAAGTCTGTTCTGAAAAGGTGTGGCTTCGAAAGGCATCCCCAAAAGGCGGGTCCATTCCGCTTACGCTGGGCTACAACAAAACCATTTTCACTTTAGGAGGTTAAAGACAGCTTCAAGTCCAACTTACTACACACGCCTGTCCTTATCCCAGCACATAATTTATTTCAGGAAATAATTCTGTCTCTTCTATAGGGCACACCAAGAGTTTTAACTAGCACTGAGCATGGACCTGTCTGTGAGGAAAACAGCCAAGATGTATAGAAAAAAGTCAGAACAGCGATTCTTAAAAACAACTCCTAAAAACTGAAGCTGAGTCACTAGAGATGCCATTTGTTTGTTTGTTTGGCTACTTAAATTTAAGTTTTATAAACATTTCTTAAAATCTTTCTCTAACAAGACTGTTCTAATTTCCCTGAAGTAGAAATGTTCTCCCGTTTTCTTAGGGCTGAAGCAGTAGTAAGTCAGATTTAACTATATTCCTGAATCCAATATCTTACTTTCCAAAAAAAAAAAAGATAATCATGGACATCTTTTTATAATTTTAATTTGAGGGGTGGGGAGAGATGTGGAGGTCAGAGGACAACTTGCAGAAGTCAGTTCTCTCTTTTCATCATGTGGGATAGGAGACTGAACTCAAGCCAATTGGCTCTGTGGCAAGAGCCTTTAACCCACTAAGCCATCTTGCCAGCCCAATTTAGGTATCTTCAGTCCAACCAACATGAACAACACAAGGGCCTCCTAAGTCTCCAAGACACAGCTAGAAAAGTGGGCTTGATCTTTAGATTTCTCTCTTCTTTTTACATTTCATCACCTATCCAAACCACCTCAGCTGTACACCCTGGCACAAATAAAAGCCACATTCTGAAATGTAACTCCAATAAAGAAATGAGCCCAGGTGGAGGTGACGCACGCCTTTAATCCCAGCACTCGGGCGTCAGAGGCAAGCAGATCTCTATGAGTTTGAGGCTAGCCTGGTCTAGAGAGCATCTCAGCTCCAAGACAGGCTCCAAAGCTACAGAGAAACCTTGTCTCGAAAAATCAAAAAATAAAGAAAAGAAAAAAAAATAAAGGAAGGAAGGAGAAAGCGAGAAACACTACAAACATTCTTCTTACTCTCCCACAAGGTGGTACAGCAAAGAGTTCTATAAGGCATTAGCGGTCTATGCACCTACGTTCTCCTTCCACACTGCTCATCTACCCTAACCTGCCTTCTCACTGCTCTCCTAGATACTCCCACATCAGCCGCTTTGTTTATAGTTTCCCCAGACCTTCTAAAACTTTGGGGTCTTTCTTCCTAGAAAAATTTTGTTTAAGAACAAGTTTTAATATCCTAATTCAAGTAGTCAATAAACAGCAAGCCATACCTTGTTTATTTAGACACAAACTCTAAAAAGGGACATGTGGTCCTTTTGTCACAGATCTTGGGATGGACACCAGCCTCTGATCTTTTAAGTGTCAGTTACCAAGTCCTCTTCCTTACACTCTGCTGCAAAGTCACTAAACCATCCTAACAATTATTTTAGCCCTGTGCTCAGGGGACAGTCCTACACAGTCCCTCCTAGGTGTCCCTAACTGTTCATTATTTCTAGACTTCTTTCCAGCACTCACTCTGGGAGTGAGGGTGAAAATTAACTATGAGAAAGGAAAAGGGGAAAGTCTGAAGAAGAAGAATGGGGACAAATGAGCTTCCAGTTCTTATTTCAGTGATTGCCTCAAACCCAAAGAGACCAATTAAAAGAGTTGTCTCAGCTCGGTGTAGTACTGTATGTCTATGATTTAGGCATTTTCAGGGCCAAAGCAGTAAGACTGCTATATTGAAACCAGTTTCACCTACACAGCAAGACCAGGTCAAGAAAGAGAGAGAATGAGAATATGAATATGAATGAGACTATATACCACTCTTAGACATGTTTACAGAACATATAGATGTGTGTGCGTCCATGTGTAAAACAGAATCACCACTTCTGAACTGTTGTAAAAGAAAATGAAGAGTTGGGAAGCAAAATACCAGAATCAAAAACGGGATTTGGGTGGCAGATTAAATTTCTGGGTAATTCATTCTGTCCTCATAAACAAAGATGTAGCAACTAACCTACGTACTCACCATGCTCCTTGTGTCAAGCTCATTGAAATATTCAAGGCTACAGCAAATGAGGAACAAGAGAGCATGTACTCACATCTAGGTGAAGGCGGAAATAAGCTGTCTTTGAAGCTAGTGTGTCAAGCTGTGTTAAGATGCAGAAAGGGCAACACTGTGCCCTTTCTACCAGCACAGAGAATCAAACTGTATACTCCTCCACATGTGGTTTACCTGAGGCATTTCCAAGCCCAGATCCTGTGAGTCCAATTCCAAACTTCTTCTTTGTCTTGTTTGTAAATTTCTTTCCAGCTTTACTTTTAATTCCAAGATCAAAGATGATTCTCACAATAAACAGCACGTTTTCCCAGAATGCCTTCAGTTCAACTGCTTGGGTCACCACTTTTTTAAAAAAATAATTTTGTAGTTCTGTCAAATAACAGAAAGTAATTTCACTGAGCTCCATTGAAAACAAGTTGACCTTTCAAAAGAACATTAATAAAGAACACTGTGCTTTAAATAAGTCTTATAGTTGAATTTTCAAGATTTTTTTTCATTTTGTAGTATCTACTATTCTGAAGTATACCCTTTAACATTGTTTATTTCTAAAATAAGGTTGGTCAATAATCAATCAGCAGCCTAAAGCAATGACATACACCTATAATCCCAGCACTCTGGAGATAGATAAAAAGATCACAGGGTTGGGCTACCCTGAGCTACAGAAGGTTACTCAGAAAGACTCCGTATCAAATAAGCAAGCATGTAAATAAATAAATCTGTAACAGTCTTTTTAAAACACTTTGATATATCCTCATCCTTTCTGTGATTTGAAAACTATTTTAGAGTCAAGCTCTCATTCCCTCCATCATCTTTTGAAAACCCATCGTAACATTTACTATATACTGACTATGAAAGTGAACTCCAGTTTCATCTCTTGTAACTCTACACCTGTCATACAAACAGGAAGAGAATTTAACATACCTTCTACATTAAACATCACATCTATAAGTTCACGAACATTATCCTTTGATTTAGACATAAAAGCTGTCCTTTAAAAGTTACTATTTTAGGCTACAAGGTGCTCTCTAGTTACTGCCTAGCCCAGTGACTTCATGAAGTATACGCAAACTATTGCCTCCAAAGGGAAAAATTGCTCCATTTTTAATGGCCTGCATGTGGTAAATGGGACAAGAACTACTTTGCACAGTATTTCCAAGGGGTGGGCTAAGCTGACTGCAATCACTGGGCATGACATCTTGAAGTGGAGGCTTTCTTCCCTTGTTTATGAAAACCTTAATGGAGAGAAACTGAAAAGCTACACCCAACTGCATCCTTTCTGGAAAGCGATTCTCAGAGTATGATCCTAGAACCATCAACATCCACCCGGATGCATCAGAAATGCAGAATTACAGGTCTTAACCTTACCAGCAGGACATAAACTGAAGGTGTGGAGCTCAGCAGTGCACTTTAATAGATCCTCCTCATCTCCCTAGAGCTAAAAACCAGTGACCTGCTCTTGCTTTCATTCAGTCCAGACACAATGTCACTTCTTAAAAAAAAAAAAAAAAAAAAAANAAAAAAAAAAAAAAAAAAAAAAAAAAAAAAAAAAGAAAAGCCATCACTCCTTAAATTGAACTGTCTTCTTAGGTTCTCACATTCAGGAGATTAGAGGAAAAGAGAGAACACTGTTCAAGACTGACTGCTTGAACAAATGAGAGAAGAGACTAATTGTTCTACTTAATTAGGCTAATGAACTAACAGTCATTTGTATTTCCTGGATGTCTGTTGGCCCTTCCACAGCTGGCTCTCACATCTACTTATACTGGTCCAGCTGAGGAAACACTGGCAAACGTGGTAGGCCCAGAAACAGAGTCCACAATGCTTTTCAGTCCAGTCAACAGTCTAAGACAGCCGTTCTCAATCTGTGGGTTGCAACTCCTTTGGTCTTTGACAAATCTCTATCTCCATAAATACTGACATTACGGTTCATAAGAGTAGCAAAATTACAGCTATGAAGTATCAACAAAAATAATTTTATGATTGGAGGTCACCACAACATGAGGAACTATATTAATGGTCACAACATTAGAAAGGTTGAGAACTGCTGGTCTAAGGAGATAAAATATTATGCAGAACCCTGACAGACAAGCTTTTTTTTGCTCAGGTAACCTGATGGGGCCCAGCAGGTATACAGCCTACCACTACTCTCCCTCTGATTACTCTGGGAAGAAAGTCATGTCATCTTTTCTAGACCTATTATTTAGTTCCAAGAAGGCAATTTCTTCATGCTACGCCTCTCAACTAAATTGACTAGTAAAATCTTGGCAATCTACATAACCTGACTATGGGGCTGTTACTTACTAAAATCTGAAACTTACCATTACAAGCACCAAGGTTTGAAACTGTGGGAAGAATGAAGTCCTAGTCAACATATACTTACTGGTGTCTACTAATGATGCTACCCTAATAGCCTGATCTAGCAGAGAAGCCAAAAAAGGGCAGACTTTGTTAGTCACAGTTTTCACCTGGATATTACACAGCACTGGGCGATAATAACAATTTTAGGACTCAGTTTTGTCATCTCTAAAAAGGGAAAAAGGAAAGGAGAAGAGAAGGAGAAAGGAAGGAAAGGGAAGGAAAAGAAAACATTAATTGGTATGATTTCATGTTAGTAATGCCAGCTACCCAGAAAGCCTGAAGCAGAGGGTAGTGAATTCAAGGCCAGCTTGGGAAGTATACATAACAAGAGACTCTAGCTCAGAGAGAGGGAGGGAGGGAAAGAAGGAGGGAGGAAGAAAGGACAATGGATTATATGATACAAAAGCAGAAGGGGGAATTATTTAGAAGCATGAATGAATAGAACACTGGGATAAATGAATAAGAACGAAGTATAATTACACATATATACAAAAGTGGTTTAATAAAACACATTACATTGTAAGCAAAGGCTGACCAGATAGTTTAGTGGGCAAAGGCACTTGCTTCTCAAGCCTGAGTTTCATCCACAGATTAAGTAGAAGGAGAGAAGTGACTTCAAAAAGTTGTCCTCCCAACATCCATCCACATGTACCCCTTGGAGCATGTACGTGAGAGTGCAAACACAAACACACACACACACACACACACAGAGTGAGAGAAAGAAATTTTTTAAAAATTGAAAGCCAAGGACAGGGCATGGTGCACAAAGTTTTAATACCAACTCTCAGGAGATAGAGGCAGGCAGATCTCTTTGAGTTCAGCCAGCCTGTCTACATAGTGAGTTCCAGGTCTGCCAAGGCTACACAATGAAACCTTGCCTTAAAATAAAATTTTATCTTATCTCTTACATCTGCAGTACAGGCTATTTTCCTTAATTATGTAACAGGAGTGGAAGACACAGGTATCTTCTCTAAGAATTACCATCACACAGCATCTCCCATGAGACATTGCTCTAAAACTGTATAATCTAATCCTTTTCCAGATAAAAGACAAACAAGGAAGTGGTTGCAGTTTCCCAGTCACTCTTCCTTTTGCTCACAGCACTGGCTTACCAGTTCTCAGGGAAGTTATGTGCATTTTTCAGGGGAGACAAAACTGGACCATCGGTATATCTGCCTAAAGAGGTTCTGGACCTGGGTTTTAAAAAAAATATTCAGCAACTTTTTCTAGGTATCATAATCAATTCTGCACTGGAGCCCAGCTCTGTTGAGACAGGGAGGTGGGCTCAGTAAACGTTGAACAGCAATGGAACCTGAAGAAAAGATAGTTCCAATCACTTTTACAGCCCTGCCAGGTCCAGCTCTCGGGTCTTTGGTTCTCTAGACACAGGCTAAGGCTTACTATGCACATCAGATAGGGCAACAGCTAAAGTAACATAGTACACACAGTCAAAAGACAGCTTACAGAAGTTCATCCCTAACTCCATGCAAACAATTCATCATAAATGACTTCAAAAACAAAACCCAAGAGTTGACTGGTGAGCTCCAGGCCCCTGTGTCCCTGAAAGTTTTGGCTACTCCCTAGTCACATCAAGAAACACAGAAGCCTCTTTATAGACTAATTGAAATGTGGTGGCTCATGCCAATAATCTCAGCACTTCGGTAACTGAGGCAGGGGGATCATTGCTCAAATTCCAGGCTAATCTGGATTACGTAACAAGTCAGTGTCAGTCTGTCTCTCAGCATAAAAAAGGAAAGAATCATATACATAAACACACACACACATCCTCTTTAAAATGAGTAAGCAGATCTACACATGACAGTCAGAATGCCTTTTTACTACAGTAGTTTAGGCCACTCACTCCTTTTAGTAATTCGAAAATAGCTCCCCTCAGTAGTAAACTGCCTTCTGAGTAATCCAACATCACCAGAGCAATGTTTAAAATGTTTGACACACCCAAGTGTATAGCTATTATCTAAAAAATGGAGAATAACAAGTGTTGAAAAGGACAGAAATAATCAGAACCCTCATGAACTGCTAGTAGAGATGTAAAATGGTACAGACGATAAGGGAGAGTCTGGTAGTTTCTCAGTAAGTTAAAGGATTATCACACGATCCAGAAAACTCTATTCTTGACTTAAACAGCAAACACCCACATTCATAGCAGCATTAAACATAATATCCAAGAGGTAAAAACAATTGAAATAGCCATCCATGTATACACAACAGAACAAGGACAAATGCAATTCTAACAGACATTACAACAAACCTTAAAAACACTATATTAAGTAAATTAAGTCTGATATAAAAGAACAGTTACAGTTTCACTTACATCAAGTGCCTAGAACAGAGAAAATTCATAAAGACAGGAAGTAGAACAGAGGGATTGGAGTTGTGATTTAAAGGACAGAGTTTCTGTTTGAGATAGTTAAATGTTTGGAAACAGTGGTGCTGGCTACACAACACAATTAATATACATACTTAAAAATGGTAAACTGGTTCCAAGAATGTTGGCTTATGCCTGTAGCCCCAGCACTCATGAGGCTGAGGAAGGAAACTGCCACAAGTTTGAAGTAAGCCTTAACTACACAGCAAGTAACACACCAGCCAGAATCACACAGTGAGAATGCGTAACAAACGTGAAACGCTTTTATGTGTATTTTGTATTTCTAAATTATTGCTCTTTAATTAAAATTTTATTGTAAAGAACTTGTAAATAAAAGGTATCACACAGCAAGTCAGGCAGTGGTGGTGCACACCTTTAATCCCAGCACTCAAGAGACAAAAGCAGGTGGTTCTCTGTGAGTTCAAGGCCAGTTTGGTCTACAAGAACTAATTCCAGGACAGGCACCAACGCTACACAGAAAAACCCTGCTAAATGGGAGGCGGTGGCGGAGAGGAGTCAGAAATCTTTAATAATAAATAACAACAACAACAAAAAAACCCTGCTTTGAAAAACCAAAAAATAGAAAATTAAAAAATAAAGATATCACATAGCAAGATTAGACAGA